ACATTGTCCAGCCCTGAATCACCCAGAAAACATGAGCAACACATTTTGAGATGCAAATCCTGAACTTTTGGAGATCAAGAAACTGAGGCAGTATCCAGAGAAGCATGTACCAAAAGAAACAAGAGGAAAATACAAATGTGATAATAAAAATACAAAAGGACTATCAAGAGTCCAAGGATTTCCATGGGACAACACTCATGGGCAAAGATTAACTTTCAAGTATGCAGAAAACTCCAGGCCAAGACAATCTGAAGAGGCTGTGTATAATCTTGTGCCCAAACCTGTTTTCTGTTTTTCTCACCATGGATTGGCCTGTCTTCTCTCCCCTCACATTTCAACAAAACTATTCTGCGTTCTTCTAAAATTATATTCTGTGAGGAGCAGCAACAATCCTTAAATTCATGTGTCACAGTTAGGAGTTATTTTCCTTTTCCTGCAAAGATTGGTTACTCCAGCCTGAATCCACAGCTTTCTAAGAACTCAGGTAGTGTGGATCAATTTCCTGTCCTATAGAGCAAATGGACTTCAGGCACAGCTTGACAGTTTCCTTGTGGAGCTGGTGGGACATGAGCTTTTCCCTATGTGACAGAGGTAGGGTACAGCAACAGAGGTGGAAGCAATGGTTTTTTGAGACTACCTCTCTTTGTTCCCACCTCACGCAAATCCACCACAACACAAGCATTAATATTAAAGATGAGCAAACCAAGACATAGCAAGAATGAATAACTGAGCTATGGTTAAATATCTAAGATATTTTAGATATAGGATACACATACAATATAGTGCTGAATGCATGAAGAATTTGTTGGTTCTGCTGAATCACATTGATTTTTCTTTTGCAATTTCAAGTATTTAGTGAGCATTAAAAAAAAGAAAAAAGAGGAACAACCCTTTTGTTTTAGCAGATTAGTATACAGATTAGTTTTAGAATAACTACATACTTTCAGTTTCTGTGAAGATATATTTTGATTTTTTAAAAACCAATAAACTGAAAACTTGTCATGCTTCCAAGTCTGAGAGTAGTTAATGAAAAAAGCATATGCCTCATTTCAGTGTTTCTCTAAGATGGTTAAAATTGCTAACACTAAATCAGGCAGTGTTGACTGCACAATCTCCATCTTGCTAGTAGATAGCAGAAGGAACTGTTAGTACATTCAGCATCCAGGTATAACAAACTGGCAAAGGGGTAAAAATGGACCATCAAATGATAACACACATTTTGTTTGGCTTTCTTTATTTGTTAAGAGTCTTGCTATTTTGCTATTTTATCTTGAATTTCTACCCTAAGAACTCCTTCTAGTCAATTCTGAATGTTATGTCTTAAATATGGTTTTATATGCTAAAAATTAGTATTTTTTCCCATTGAGTATCTTCATTGGCATCTTATTATCATTCAGATGAAGTTTAAACTACCTGTCCAAGCCCTGGAGGATTATCACCACTCCAGTTTTTTTTTTTTTCTCTCCAGTCATTGTCGCCTCTGACCTTCTCACCTCCTCTCACAATCTCAACCATCTGGAACAATTTTCTTATTTTCTTCTGACGAGTGTCATATCTTACTTAAGAGTCTCCTTAAAATTCTTTCTTTCTGGGGAGATATTTCAAACTTACTATGATAGATATGTGGGCACTTTGTGCAAGAATTCTACACTCCTTTGGCAGACACTGATGATGGTACATGTTTACTGTTCAGTCAGTCAAGCCCCCTTCATCACAGCCCATGTATGTTCCTATCCAAAAAGTGCCTTCTAGATGATAAAGTCTTTACAAATAGAAGTTGAGTCCTTTCGCTCAATAATTTAGGTATCACTAGGGTCCACTACCAAAATCAAGCACCTGATCTTTTTGGTTTGTAGAAGGACTTTTTTTTCCTAGTTTCAAATAACAACAGTATGTAAGGTAGGCTTAATCACAATTCATTTGTCTGTCTCTCCTAAGTGGTTCTTAAAATATAGGGGGAAATATCCTCTAGTATGTAAAGGTAAAAAGGTAAAGGCCCTCCCGTTGATCGTCGATTTGCTCAAGTGGGCCCAGTAACGTCTCCATTGGAGACTTTGTTGTTACTGTGTTTGGCATATCGAATACTCTCGGTAGCTTGCTGGGCTCTCCGAGAGGGGCGGAGGAATCGAACTCGGGTTGGCCATGTTGGCCGCTTGTAAGGCGAACACCCTACCGCTGTGCTATCGCTCCAATTACAAAGCATGCATGGTTTGTAACAGAGAGCCAAGTTCTATTATAATTTCAGCAGGGAATCTCAACTGTGGAAGAGAATTCAAATAATGTTTCATAAATCTGACATCAGGGACGAGGATCAGTATAGGGGGTAGGATGTATAGGAAAGTATGAGTGAAACTCTAGTTCAACATGGCCCAATATGGCCTTTGGAAAGAGCAGGTCCCTCAAGCACTGCCAGATATGATTCTAGAAGCCACTAAGCACCAATGGTCATGGCTACATAAGACCTAAGCAGCACAGCATCATTGTGTCCTCTCAGTGATCAATCAGGCCTGTTGGCTGAGAATCTCTGGGAGTCCCCATGAATCACCCCAATCACCTGAGCTATTAGGAATCCTCTATCCTCTATCTCCCACCTCCCTCAAAAAAAAAAACTCTGAAATTAGTAGATAAAAACTAAAAAGATTCCATGGCCATCTAATACTGGAAAGCAATGCACTCATACTATACAACTTTGTAGATACAACTTTGTAGTATATAATGAAAAGTAATAATCAATAGACTGAAATAATAATCATTGGACTGAAAAATTCTCTCAAAATACATATTAACATTAACAGCTGCCTAAAGTTGTCATCATTCTTTTAATTCACCTTATACACATTATTGCATAGAAGTTTTAATAATCCACAGTACGTAATTTGATAAATATTAATTCCAAAAAAAAAGTTTGGAAAAAAGACCCAGAAAATAAATCAAGTCCAGCTACTGGTCTTCCTATAAATAAACTTATGCATGAAGAATATTTCTTTATTTGTAACTTGTATTTCAATTCATCAGAAAACCTGAGTCTCAGTCTTCCCACTATAATCTGTCTTCACCTATGCTTAAATGAGCAATTTCTCTGTGCCCCTTTAGGGCATAACCAAATATCTCAAAATTATCTCATTTACATACTTTAAATATTATATTCCTTAGTATTGCCTTACTTGACTTGGGGGAACCAAATATATAATGTCAATGCCATCTATAAAAGGACAATGTGCTAACCAAAATATTAAGTTGTTTTTTTCCCCTTTGGTATGGGTGCTTTCTAATCCCCTTTGCATTATGCTTTGCATCAAATCCTATGTATTTTTAGAGACCCTGTCAGTGATACTTTTTCCGTAAATATTTTGAAGTCTCTCTTAGTTGTAATTTCAGAGTGATTATTCTTTCCAAAGAACAAAATGAAGTATTTGGTGCACATTCAGCAACTTATATGATGTTCTCTTTAAGGACACGGTCTGTGTTTGGTTCATCTCAGAAACCTATTGCACAAATCAAGTTCACATATATATTTGCAACATTAAATCATATGTTTCAAGCATATAGGCATGTGGGTTCAGAAATATGGATCCTACTACCTGCTAGCACTAGTGGCAGCGTTAATAAGACTTGGGAACACCAGGGGGATTCATATTGTAGGTACAGTTTTGTACTTTTAATTCTTTACATGAATGACAACATATCATTCAAATGATCTTTTCTACGCATTCATCTATTTTTATTTTGATAACACTTCAAGGATGAGAAATAATGAGATGTGAAATTACTATGTAACTTGTAAAATGCTATCTTTAGATGATTCTTATAAAAGCAACAAACTGTGGACATTATTGTTTCTATAAATAAGTAATAACAAAATGATTAGAGTATGGCATAAGGCAGGGTGACAGACATGAATTTAATCCCTCCTTTAGGGACATTCTAGTTAACTGACCCCATTAAGTGTTTAAGTGTCTGTTTTTTCATCTGTAAAATGTCAAACAACATTTATTGAGTACTAGCCGTGTGTTTTATGCTGTGTATATAGTTGTACTTAGCATAATACATATATATGTACTTATATATTTTGTGAATATATTAATTAAATTGTATTACTGTAGTACTTAAAAATTTTAACAAATAAGACTGAGCATTATTAAAAATAACAAAACTAAAGGTACATAGATAACTACTATATGTATATCAAAGGTAGGAAACATCTCAATCGTTCAATGGTAAAGCAAAGTTCATTTTATATTTCCTGTTGCAAAAGTAATCATGATAATTAAATAAAAAATCATATAAAATTACTTTATGTAGCATATTTTAAACTATTTATTCAACAGATGTTTTCTTCCTCCCTTTTTTACTCATGCATTAATGGGAATTATACAAAATCAAAGAGAAGACTTGCATGTAGGACATTTTCTTTAAGTAAACTATTTGGATAGCATCCATTTAAAAATACAACAAGAGTTAAGGTACTCACCTGGCTTGTAAACAACCCAAATTGATCCCTGGAACTACATATATTATCCGAGGTTGCCAAAAGTAATCCCGTAGCACAGAGCCAGAAGTAAGGCTAAGTAACATGTGGTATGGTTCAAATCCTCCAATGTCCTCCCAAAACTGGAAAATGACACATGAAAATTTTCTGTTCCTAAAGTCCAAATTGATTTTTAGGTAGCTAATGTTTCCCAATGAATTTTATCTAAGTAACTACTAATATTAATCAGTTAAATCTACCTATAATTCGTACTTGTTAGTAACTTTCAGAAATGTCCTAGAATTTGAATTTGAGCTGGTTGGTCCTTGAGATAAGATTAATATGTTGAGAGAAATAAAAAGAAATTCAAAGACTATTGCTCTTTTGCTTGGTTTATTTTATTGAAGTGGTAACACCTTGTCATTTTTTTCTTTATACACATACACATACACATACACACATGTACAGATACAAACACACACATATGCATACACAATGCCAAAAACATGCAGATGTAATGTAAAAAACTCACCCAATCATCTAAATGTTTAAAAAATATCCAGATGTTAGATTTAGAGTGCACAAACCATCTGGCAGATCAGCTTAGTTTTTGACTTTTCATCCAGCTGTCGGGTGCTATGGAAGGACAGTCTAGCTCTATACTTAAAGGTGAGAAAAGAAAATGGTGTAAGATGTTTATTGCTAGTCTTCTAGAAAATATTACCTATAGAAGCAATTTTTATTCAGAATTACCTACTGTAAAACACGTTTTATACTGAAATTTCAAGCAATTGATTCTTTCTAGTAAAATTTCCAGATTCAAATTTGAAGTCAAATACTTTAAAAAGAAAATTATCAAATATTTGTTTTAATAAAATTGTATGGAACATATTCAACCAGAAAGCAAATTTTCTTTGCACAATTAAAATAATCTGTGCAATGCCATATAGCACAGTTAGAGACCAAAAGATGAAATCCCAAATACTTCTATCTCTCTTTCTCCACAAACTAAATACTCACATGTGACAATACACCAAAGTCAAGGCCACAGATCAAAGGTAGCTATTAGGCATTAATATTGAATTTTGTTTTGATTTTAATTTGCATGATGATACCTCTAGAATTACTTTGAAGATTACCAATTTATTTTTGGTAAAAACATCTAGCATGACCAATTTAATTTTTAATTCACAACAGAGGAAATTAAGAATTATTTTGTTCTAGATAATCTAATAGTCACACATCACAGGCTTTAATATATATAAATATATAATAAAATCTAACATGGTCCATATTGTTCTACTTTCTATATTCCTTTATGTAAATATTTTTTGTATTTACAAAATATTTTGTTCCAACAATAAAGTAGCCAAAAAATCATAATACATACAAGAATCTCTGAAAAAGTACTAAAAGATGTGAAGAGATTAACTAAGGAGAAATGGTGAAAACCAACAGGAAAGTCAGAGATTCTGGAGAAAGCAAGAAGCAAAGGATGAGCATGAAAATTTATAGACAGTTTGAGGGTAGATTTTCAAAGTGGCATGTGACAGAGCCAAGCACAAATCCTCTTACTTATTAACGGGATTTGTCCCTGTACCTGTCACACAATGCTTTGAAAATATCTGCCTGTGTGAAAGGTATACTGCTTCTCTCCATCAGTTTTATTCTTAAGAGACTAATGTATAATCTCTTTAGGTTTCATCTTTTGTATTTCTGTGCACATGACAAATTGTTTTGAACACTTCATCCATACACATAAGAAGGCAGATACTCAGGGCTTAACACTACATATCTAAAAATCCCTGAGATAAAATTTTCCTCATTGGAAATAATTATTCTATTAAAATAAAATTTATATTTATCACTGAAAATTGTCCAACTAATGCATTCATTCCTTGATGCCATAAGACAATTGTTCTCAACCTATTATACTTACTGCCTCTTTTTATAAAAAATATTTTGTATCCCATTTACCATACTGAATAATGGTTATTATAACACTTCGAACACACCTCTTAAAAATCAATACAATATTCCAACTAAAAATAAGAGAGAAATAGAGTATTTCATAATAAAATCACATTTTTGAAATGTAAATATTTGAGTTTCTACTTCAAATTTCTACTTTCTACTTCACAGAGTGGGGATAAAGGGCTGCAAAGTTTAAGAAGAGAACTCCAAGAACGACCACCAACTGGGAGCTCTTTGGCACTATTGCTGCAACATGGGAAGATGCTGTTGTTGACAACATTGACGAGGAATACGATCAACTGGTTCAGCACCTCCATGATTGTGTGAGGAACACCAAGAGAGAGATAGCCACAAAAAAAAAAGCCTGTCTTCAAAAACTCTTGAGCTTATTCATCAATGTGGTTTGGTGCATGACTCTGGCAACTGCAAGCGAACGTCCAAGCTCGCAAAGTAGTGCAGAGATGCGATAAAGGTAGACCTCAAAGAGAGAAGAGCAGAAGTGCTGGCAGATGCAGCAGAAGCTGGGAAAAGTATTTCTAACACCCGCCTGTCCTTCGCCAACCATAAGACCAAGATGACTGCCCTCTGACATCCTGATGGATCTATCACATCTTCCAGAAGGGCAATGGAGAAGATCATCCATGACTTCTACTCAGATCTCTTCGATAGCCATGTCCACCTGCCCACATACCAAATTCCCCAGGATGGATATGTTGTTCCCAGAGTTCTCCCTTCGGAAATTTGACACGCCATTTTTTCGGTAAAGAAAGGAACAGCACCCGGCCCAGACAAAGTCAGACCTGAACACCTGAAGAACCTGCCGTCAGTACTCATCAATACACTGGTTCGGCTCTTCACACGCTACCTGTCTGAACGTAAGGTTCTGTCCCAGTGGAAAACCAGCAGGACTGTACTACTGTACAAGAAGGGAGACATTCACGACATTAGCAACTATTACCCCATCTGCTTATTGTCTGTCATCGACAACCTATTCACTCGAGTCATCCTGAATAGGATTGGCAGAACACTAGATGAAGAAGAACCATGCGAGCAAGCTGGGTTCTGCAAAGGATTCAGCATCATCGACCATATCCACACGATAACCAAGCTCATTGAGGTTTTTCAGGAGTTCAAGATGCTGCTCTGTCTAACATTCATTGATTTAAAAAGGCCTTTGATTCTGTTGAGACGGAAGCGGTCATTGAAGCCCTAGCCAATCAGGGCATTCAAACTCAACACATCAGGATCCTCTGTGAGCTGTATTACGGATTCACTAACAGGATCTCATCATTCTACAAAGAAGTGATCATCAATGTCAAGAGAGGGGTTCGGCAGGGTGATACCATTTCTCCAAAACTCTTCAGTGCCACCCTCAATAACATCATGCGACAACTCGAATGGGAAGTAATGGGAGTGAAGATAGATAATCGGCAACTACACCACCTCTGCTTTGCTGATCACATCGTTGTAATAACACCAAACATTAGCCAAGCAGCACAATTGCTGGCTGACTTCGACTGTGAGTGTGGAAAGGTCGGACTACAGCTGAATCCCACGAAGACAATGTTTATGAGAAACAGCCTCATTCCTGACGCTCCATTCGCTCTCAATGGAACGGCCATCTCCAAACACAACAGTTATGTGTACCTAGGTCGAGAAGTCAACATGATGAATGACCTGGTACCTGAGTTGTGCAGGAGGAAGAGAGCGGGTTGAAATGCCTTCAAGAGCGTTGAAGAAATAGCTAAGAGGATGAAGAACCTCCGGCTCTGGGCACATCTCTTCAATTCCACTGTTATTTCTGCATTAACATACTCATCAGAGACCTGGGCCCTATGCAAACAGGATGAGAACCCTATTTGGGTCTCCCAAAGAGGAATTGAAAGAGCTATGCTAGGAGTATCACGTTTCACTCAAATGAGAGAAATAATCCAGAGTTCCGACCTCCATCGATGATCAAGAATCAGGGATGCTGTCTTGCTTGCCAAGGTGTCAAAAATCAGATGGGCTGGACATGTAATGAGATTTGGAGACTACCGCTGGACTAGAGCCATTACCAACTTGATTCCACTGGACGTCAAAAAACCACCTGGCCGTCCATCTACCAGATGGTCAGACTTCTTCATCAAGATCCTGAATGACTGGTTTGAGGCTCTTCGTGTTCCTAGAAGGATCAGACGCTATTGGGCTACTTTAGCATGTGACAGGGACAAATGGAGACATTACTGGCACCCGCCTGTGCAAGTCAATGATTAACGGGAAGTCAAGTGATCAAGTGATCAATATTTGAGTACTGTTAGCAGGTAAGGCGTTTGCCTTGCACACAGCGACCCGGGTTCTATTCCTCTGTCCCTCTTGGAGAGCCCAGCAAGCTACTGAGGGTATCCCACCCACATGGCAGAGCCTGGTAAGTTCCCCATGGTGTATTCTATATGCCAAAAACAGTAACAACAAATCTCACAATGGAGACGTTACTGACTCGAGTAACTTTTTGAACAGTGGGAGTTCAGTGCTACTGCTATATAATGAAAGTATGAAAAGCCAAGTGCTGAAATCTATACAATTTTGCAAATTTGTAAATGCACCAGGAAACTGACACAAAACTGTTTTGTTGACTGAGCAAAACCATACAGATACTGTAAGTCATGGGGACTAACACAAAATAGAAAAAAAATGGTACATAAAGCTCCTGTCAGTAACAAGTAAATAGTCGAGTTCACAATATTAAATTCCTTTTAATTTACATATTTATTTTTGGAAAATTCAGTATCTATAAGCTGTGAGAGTATTTTATAATAATGTAAAATAAATGGGTGAAATACAGATAGTAATGAAAGGTTTTTCATTTATATGAATGTCTATTAGGACACTCAAAAATCCTGTAGGATGGGGTAAGTTTTCAAGTACTGGGTCCCTCTGCAAATTGCACATATTAATTTTTCTTGACATGAATCACAACAGTGGTAGTATTGATACCATTAGATTTTTTGTAAAAACTAATATACCCTCACAATTCCCAAAATTCTCCTTAAAGTGTGATTCAGGCCTCTCAGAAACAACTCCTGCTATAAGGTTAAAAAGGAGGAAAATAAAACAGTACTTAGCATCTTTTTATATTTATGTGCATATGAATATGCATATATATATATTGCTTTTGAAAATGCACAATGTACTTGGCATTATGTTTTCACAATTGCTTCCTTAAGGCAGGAGTACTTGAGAGTTTTTGATAACTTTTAGTAATAAATAAATGGATTTAGCATATCAGTTCAGATTGTCTGAGTGAAACTTAATGAAGTATTATGCATGCTAATATTGACTACTTAAAAATAGAAAGTATCGTTTTTCCTTCATCGGACTAATATTTTTCTTGTATAAACAATAAATCCATGTACAAAGATATGATTTATAAATCAGAAGATAAAATGAGATGCAGAAGAAATTTGGAGAAAAAGAAATCATGATGTAAGGAGTAGTTTCATGAAAGATACCATGGCCACACGACAAGATGAAATTTATTATTCCATTTATCCTTAAAACAAGCTAACCATAGACATTTACCTTAGAAATCCAAAGTTCCATATTTCTGTGTAGTACAGTTCTACAGAACCATGGATTAATGGTTTCATAAGGTATCAGTCACACTTCCATAGCATTTGCTGATATAAATATAAAAGCTCCATTTTAA